CTTTCCAAGAGTAGAATATAAACATCTTAACACAATAACTAAGAAAATGACATGAAGGCTATGTTAACCAGTTTGATGAAAATATTTCAAATTGCATATGAAAACACCACACTGCACCCCATAATTGCATTAAGGTACACAACTATGATTTAATGAAAAAAAAAAAGACATTGAGGGCGGCTCCTATGGCTCAGCAAGTAGGGGGCCGGCCCCATATGCCGAAGGTGGTGGGTTCAAACCCGGCCTCGGCCAAACTGCAACACACACAAAAAATAGCCAGGCGTTGTGGCAGGCACCTATAGTCCCAGCTACTCGGGAGGCTGAGGCAAGAGAATCACCTAAGTCCAGGAGCTGGAGGTTGCTGTGAGCTGTGATTCCACAGCACTCAACCAAGTGTGACAAAGTGAGACTCTGTCTCTAAAAAAAAACTAACATCAGTCAATTTTCAGCCCAAGATTTCCTGCAGATAAATATAAAGGTAAAATAAACCAACAAAACACAGTAAAAAAAAAAAAGACGTTGAAATCCATAGTCAAATGTTAAACCAACTAAATACCAAATACATACGCCTTAGATGAAATACAGTTCAACAACCAGAAAACTAAAGGTCAGGCGAGCACTTATTTTTCTGCATTGTTCAGTTTGGTTTTTCCCCTGAATCAACTCTATGAACCAACATCGGGCTCCTCTTCTCCTCTTTTTTTCCCGTTAGGAATGAACTTGGACTGTTTTCATCATCACTTCCCAGTGTGGCCAAGTGTTCGCTGTATATCCCGTATTCAGCGTTAGCAAGGGCTCATCTCTTTTACTCCTTTAATGGCTGCTTCTGTTAGAACAAAGCATTGTCCAGCCAGTGGCGGGGGGATCCCTCTTCTGTTACTATTTCTTCTACGGAATTAGACTCCGGTCATTGAATTGTTTTCTTTATACTTTGATTTCTTTTTGAATCTCATTAATTTCAGTATGATTTGGGCTTATATTTAATTGTGTATATTTAGTGCCTTATTAACCCATTCTATTATCTGCATAACTCAAATTAAGAAAAAAATTATGATTTGGGAATACAATTTTCATACATATCCTCAGAAAATTAAGAAGTTGTCTAATCACATGCATCAAAAGCAGCAAAATCTTCACCGTGCTGTTTTCGTGGAAGTTATCGATTTCTTTTGGTTAATGCTTTACTTTTTGCAATGCAGATACTAATTTGGGGATATTTTGGTGAAACCACAAGTAGAGCATACTGTTGCAATATATACAAAGATTTTTTTAAAGACTTTCAGAAAAAAATAAAGGATGGCGAGCTTTTATTCCATGTACCGAGGTTGAGTTGTGATAGGGTCCAGGGCTCCTTTTGAAACCTCAGAGTGGCACCGCCCTCTTGCTGGGTGGCTTTCGGCCAAACGCAGGTGGCAGAGCTGTCCAGGGCACAGGCACGTGCCAGCTGGCGTGTCAGCCTGTGATTGCCCTGCTCTGATAGAGGTCACCGGGCTCCTCTGTTCCCGCGTGATGATGGGCCCATTGCCATCTCTTAATTAGAGGCAGGGCCTGAGCCAGCTGGCACCTGCTGCCCAGGCCCCCTGGCCACGTGTGAGCAGAGTTTGCTAAGCAGCTGGGGAATGCAGCTCATTTGCTCAGCTGGGGCGGGAAGGCAGCAGAAGCCCTGACCAGGGCTTGACAGCCAGGAGATCGTGGGCATCAGAGAGGTGTAGTAGGGTTTGCCATCTGAAATTGTGATGTGAGAGCGATTTAAAGGGATAGAGCAGAAGTACATTTTAGAAAACACCTTAGATCACTTACAGCATCTATTGTTATTTATTGGTTTTGATTCGTAGCTAAAGGCTTTGCTAAATTCTCTTCAATTATGCAGTATGAGCTAACTGAGAGAGACAGTGTGTAATGAAACCCCAGATAAGAAGCCGCTGAGACACCGTAATGTTAATTATTAATCAGACATGATGTTGTGGAAGGTGAGGGCCCTGAGACCAGGCCACACTTCATTTCAGGAAGCAGCATTTTGGTTCTCTTGTCTAATTTGTTTTCCTTTTTTTGGAAAAAAATCAATTTTTAGTATTTTTCAAAATTTATTTGTTGTACCTTTGATAGAATGAATCGCCAAACACGTAAGATTTTAAAATTATTTTGTATTTTACTTTTCTTTTTTGTTTTTTAGTTTTTGGCCAGGGTTGGGTTTGAACCCTCCACCTCTGGTATATGGGGCTGGTGCCCTACTCCTTGAGCCACAGGTGCCACCTTGTATTTTACCCTTCAATAGAAGAATTTACCACCATGTTACAGCATTGAGTGCACCAAATACAAGTAGAATCTATTTTATAGAGATTGTGCTCAGTGCTATGTGTATTACTCCACCTTTTCCTAATATTATTGATAAATAACTTTATCTTCTCTTTAAAGAAGAAATAACTGAGGTTCAGAGTTGTTTACCCACATTTACTCACCTATTTAGTTAATGACATGGGTAGAATTCTAACTCTGTTATTTATGTGCTTTAAAAAAATCCTCATTTTATAATGTAAAATTTACATAAAATGTTAACATTTATAATGTTATAATTTTATAATGTAAAATGTTAACATTTTATGTAAAAATCCTGATTATATTAAGTCTCATACTTTTACTTTGATTAGATTTTTTTCTGCAAGTTAAGTCTCCTTTACTTTATCATAGCTGTGTCCATTAATGCAATTATGGGGGACAATGTGATGGTTTTATATACAATTTGAAATACTTTCATCAAAGTGGTTAACATGGCCTTCACCACATTTTCTTAGTGATTGTGTTAAGATCTTTTCAAACAAACAAAAATAATATCAGCAAACAGACATAATCATTTCTTATTGAAAGTCACTGCCACAATCATAGCCAAACCAGAAACTATAATATTATTGATAAACCATGTTACTTACTGTCAATAATACTGAGAAATAATAAATAGTATCATCAGGTTTATTTAATCACAAACAGCCACTCTCAGAGCAATCGGTAACTGTCATAGTTATAGAAGATATTTATAATTTCTAAAGGGAAACATCAAGAAATTAGTTGTTATTCCTGGCACATCAATAGAAGGTGTAATAGGGTAAATCAAAGAATAAATGCTCAGGAGGCTGAGGGAAGAGAATTGTTTAAGCCCAAGAGCTGGAGGTTGCTGTGAGCTGTGATGCCACAGCACTCTGCCGAGGGTGACAAAGTAAAATTCTGTTTTTAAACAAAACAAACAAACAAAAAAAGAATAAATGCTTGTGAATGAAGAAAGTGACTGGTATTACTTGGGAGAGTTTTATAGGATTACTCACCTACTTTGAATGCTTCACAAACCTCTGATAAAATGTCCTAGATCCTTTAAAGATTAGTCACTTTGGCTCAGCACCAATAGCACAATGGTTTCAGCGCTGGCCACATATACCAAGGGTGCCAGGTTCGAACCCATCCTGTGCCAGCTAAACAATGACAACTGCAACAAAAAATAGCCGGGTGTTGTGGAGGGCACCTGTAGTCCCAGCTACTTGGGAGGCTGAAGCAAGAGAATTGCTTAAACCAAGAGTTTGAGGTTTCTGTGAGCTGTGATGCCGCTGCGCTCTACCAAAGGTGACATAATGATTCTGTCACAAAAAAAAAAAAAAGGTTAGTCACTTAAATTAATCTGCACGTTAAAAAACTAAAGATCAACCATTCTCCTATAATGAGTTAGAAAATCTGATATTTGGATTAGAAATTGGACTACACCATACAGAAATAAATGTGTTTCCACTTGACTCAGGGGATTATACACATTTAAACATCTGCATGCCAGGCGTGAGTTGCTCAGTAAGAAGAATGTGTGTAGGTCGTATGTTGTAGGAAAGTACAGAAGGTGGTGAGTTGAGGATATTTAAAATAATAATCATGAAAACTGAAGCATCCATTGTAGTCTGTTGGGTGTTTTCATAACTGTGCCATTGCTGCTCCTCTGAGGACGTTCATGCTGTGGTTTCCTCGTGGAATTTCTACTAAAGAAAGTTCCCTGTGGAATTTTCTACTCCGATTTTACCCATCTGGAAACTGAATGTGGAAGGAGAAGTGGATGTGCTGTATTTTAGCAGGTGATTGCAGTGTCCGTCCAGGAGACGATGGGGAGATGTGGGACAAGGCCGGACTTCTGCTTGGAGACTAGGTGGAAACTGTCCCTTCTCTCCTCAGTTTCCAAGTTTATCTCTCCTAAACCATCTCCGTTCACTGCTTACCTCACTCCCCCTAAAATAGGAAACTCTAGGAAGAAAAGTTCTTCTCATTGCATTTTTGTTTTTAATGCTTCCGATTTAACTTTATTTAATTAGAATTAAAGTTCTCCAGGGAAGTCCTGATGTCTTCTCTCAAATCCTTTATTAACTATAATTAGAAGTCGAATTCGCTAAAGATTTAAAGCCTAAGTCCTCCCTCACCTGCATGAGATTGCCCACTTTCCTTACGAATAGGCAGGATGTTAAAACTTACCTGAGGAGAGCAAATAACAACACGAGTCTGTAACATAATCACTCTCTTGCAAACTGTCTTACAAATTTATTTTTGTCAAAGGCAAATACAGTGGGTGGGTAGACAGCTATGCCACTGCCTGAGTTCTAGAAAAATCTTTAAGCTTTTGCACAAATAGCACGTAGGATACGTAGCATTTTTTTCTGAATCACTATATTTGTCTTAACAGAGAATCCACCGCTCTCTGGGTTCTTATCTGATCTATGCTTCTGGGTTTTGCTGTCATTAGTAACATATATGTCGACTTTTTTTAAATTCTATGTACACGTGAACTTGAAGGACCAAGAGACCAGCTACACCATTATCAAATCCAAGGAGACCAGCGTCACTGCAGAAGGCTTGAAGCCGGCCTCCGTGTATGTCTTCCAAATCCGAGCACGAACCGCGGCTGGCTACGGTGTCTTCAGTCGAAGATTTGAGTTTGAAACCACCCCAGTGTGTAAGTCATTTTAATTACTGTCAACTCCTGTCTCTGTAATGGTTACCTGAAGAGGGTCAGTGGATCAATACCCGGTGTGGGCACTCCGTCAATCTCCCTCTCCCTCGGTCTCCCAGGCAGGACACCTCCTGGGTCGGATGCACCTATCAGGTTGTCCCAGGGCCAGGGTGTTAACACCTTGGTCCCCGCTCCTCACTGAGTTTACTCTCCTGGGAGACCCTGCAAGGGGGTGTTCTTCAGGAATGTTTAAACTTGTTTTAAACACTTTCTTCCCATGGCTGCTATACTTTAATAAATTATTGTCATTTTTTTTTAACTTCTTTTGTTGAACTCTGCTACCAGAAAATTCCACAGGGAACTTTCTTTAGCATTGAGTTTGTCAAGGTAATGGTACTCGCAAGAACCAATCTGATTTCTTAAAGAAATAAAATAAAATAAATCTCTGGCACTATCTCCAAGTGAAGAATCCAGAAATATTTCTGGAATGTCTTTTTTGTACAATTTTCCCCTTAAAATATATACCTCTATCTTCCATAAAATACTAAAATTACGTACTTGTTCTAAAGTAAGCACTTTGAAAGCAGAATTAGAAGTCAGAAGTTTGCCTTGTTCATGGAGGGAATAACTGACATTATACATCTTTTTATAAAGAAAACAGACATAAAATGTGTATTTTCCTCTGTAAATCAAGTTACATACGAATTTGTGATTTTAGGCTCAGCGCCTGAGGCTCAAGCAGCTAAGGCACCAGCCACGTACACCTGAGCTGGCAGGTTTGAATCCAGCCCAGACCTGCCAAACAACAATGATGGCTGCAACCAAAAAATAGCCAGGCGTTGTGGTGGGCACCTGTAGTCCCAACTACTTGGGAGGCTGAGACAGGAGAATTGCTTGAGCCCAGGAGTTGGAGGCTGCTGTGAGTTGTAATGCCACAGCACTCTACCCAGGGCAACAGCTTGAGGCTTTATCTCAAAAAAAAAAAAAAAGAATTTGTGATTTTAAAATTAAGAAAATAAAATGCTTATTTTTTTGAAAGAAAACAAAATGAGAGCTTAGTTATCAGATTTACTTTGTTAGATTTATAACTATCAAATTAAAATTTCAGTAAAACTATATAATATGGCCCTTTAGAAAACCAAGATGTATTTTTGTTTACAGTCTGCTTAACTGAATTATTTAGGAAAAGATTTTTATTACTTAGAAATATCTAAATGTCACTTCATGATTTTTTATGGAGAAGCACACCATTGTAAAATAAAGATAAATTATTTTCTTTCTAAGCAAAGGAAAATTCTACAACTGCAGTTTAAAAGCTACTTGAATTTGAACCTCTAATACTATTCAGAAAATTTTCTGAATATATTTTATAATAACATATGTAATTAGTCAGAAAATTCTCATAGTATTTTCATAGTCTCACAAGAAGTTTACAAAGATACAATAATTAAAATAATCCTTTTTTTTTCAGAATTTCTGTGGCACATAGGCCATATGCATTTCCTTTCATAATTATGTAGTCATTTCTAAGATCACATTCATTATTTCGTTGATTAATTATTTATTTCACATCATAACTTAATTCTTGATATATATGGATGATTTCCCCAACAAGGCCTCCAGATACTTGAATACAACAATGATGGTACTTTAAATGCATCTGTATTTTTCCTCATAAAGTTATGGGTGGTGTATATTTGGTGGGTAACAGTGGGTAACAGTGGGTAACAGTTAAAAAATAGTTAAGTATTATGCTGTAATTACATAGTGCTCTGAAAGAAAGGCTATTTTATCTCTCAGGTATGTAAGAAGAGAAAATTACATTAAAATTACCTTCGGCACACTTTTTAAAAACAGTTTTCTGAAATTGCCTGTTCAACTCTTGTAATATACGCATGTATAATAATGGCACATTGGCACAGTTTGTTATTTGTTTGCTTAATTTCCAAAATTTATTACTTATAAATTTATATTATGCTTCAGTCATTTATTGATAAGGAGATAAAATTATTCTGTGGGGCTTTTCTTTTTCATCTACATTATATTATAGTTCAAAAATACAGCCCTAAACTCAAATGCCAATATTAGTAAAAACAGAAATGTAAAAATATTTATTTTAGGGCGATGCCTGTGACTCAAAGGAGTAGGGCACTGGCCCCATATGCTGGTGGGTTCAAACCCAGCCCTGGCCCAAAACTTCAAAAGTAGATAGATAGATAGATAGATAGATAGATAGATATAGATATATTTATTTATTTTAGAAAGACTAATTAATGTGAAGACTTGTGTGAAAAACCTCCAATCATTCATGCTGTGCCAGGCTTTAGTTTATGTTTTGTAAACCAATCCTTGCCTCTTTATTTTTATTGTATTATGCATAAAAATGACATATTTTAAAATTGACTCGGTATGACCTCTATTCTTAAAAACATTGACCAAAACAAAACATATTAACGAATAAACCTTCCATGCATGGATAAAAGCATTCAGTCAACTAGTTAGCTCTTTTTCTGATATCTTTTAAGACAATTTGTCTTGCAATTTCAGGGCCATCACTGACTTTTTCCCAACCCTATTAAGGGTGTGTGTTAAGTCAGGTCACTTGCCTAGGGTTATGTACCATGACTGTCAAGACACCAGACAGTGCCAGCACCATGGAGACCCCTGCATGGTCTTCTAATAGCCAAACCCACTCCCCTGGGAGCAGCTCCCTGCTATAGCCAATTCCTGGGAACTATTAATCTCCCCTCCATTTTTAACTTTTCTTTTTTAAAATTTCTAAAATTTTTTAATATTTTTGCTCATTGTGTGGGATTCATTGAGGGTACAAAGGATTATATTGCTTTTGTTAGGGAAAGACCCTCTTATAATTGTGTCCCACTCTCAAGGGCTGTGTCATACACCAGGACCCCCTCATCCTCCTCCCTCCCCCCGCTCCCTCATTCCCCTACCCCCCGCCATGTATTAGCTCATCCTCTGCCTCATATTAGAATTGAGGACATTGGATTCTTGCTTCTCCATTCTTGTGATGCTTTACTAAGAAGAATGTGTTGCAGCTGCATCCAGGTTAATACAAAAGATGTAAAGTCTCCATCTTTTTCAGTGGCTGAATAGTTTTCCATGGTATACATATACCACAGCTTGTTAATCCATTCCTGGGTTGGTGGGCGTTTAGGTTGTTTCCATATTTTAGGAATTATAAAGTCAGTTGAGATAAACAGTCTAGTATGAATGTCCTTATGGTAAAAGGAGTT